TTAGGCCTATGATGTGAGTCATAATGGGTTTTATCCTATTCACAATGATCTTGGTGACTATTTTATAAATTGTGTTACAAAGACCAATGGGTCTGATGTTTTTCAGCAAGCTTGGGGAAATTTTGGAATTAGACATAAAAGGGTTTGGTTCATGGTGCTGTCCATGGAACAAGTGTTGAAGCATTTCATGCAGAATTGTGAGACAGATTCCCCCACAACGTCCCAGTATTTTTTGTATAAGAAGGGGTGGAGGCCATCAGGGCCAGGTGATTTGAAAGGTTTATTGGAGAAGACAACCTTCTTTATTTCAGACATTTGGAGGGGCATGTCCATGAAGGCCTTGTGGCTTTGGAGCAGTGTAGGATCCATGGTGGAGTGATTAGTGGTTGCCCAAGGGACTTCAAAGTGGGAGGTCGTGTAGAGCTTAGTGAAGAAATCAACAATGGTGGACTGGATCTCTTTTTGATCAGTGATCCAGTTACCATTGTCCTCTTTGAGGGAGAGGATCCTGTTTCTCCTCCTTCTATTTAGGGTAGAAGTGTGGAAGAACCTTGTGCTGGCATCTCCATCATTGAGCCAGTTGATCCTGGATTTCAGCTTCCAGAAGTCTTCCTCATTTTTGAGAATGAGGTTCAGCTCATTGTTTAGCTCAGACTCAAGGTTTTGCAGGAAGCTACTGAATTGGTAGCTAGCTGACCTTTGGATGCCACTGATCCTGGCTAGGAGTCTGTTTTTTTGGTGGAAAATGTTACCAAAGACCTCCTTGTTCCATTTGGTTGCCAGTTTTTTGAATTCATCAATGGATTGAAGGAGGGTGGGCTGGTCCTTGAAGGCCTGGTTGATGATATTGGGGAAAGAGAGGTGACTAACCCACATAGTTTCAAATCGGAGGGGCCTGGTTGGTTTATTACTAAGGGCCCTACCATTTGGATTTTTAAGGGACAGTGGTCTGAGTGGGTCCTAGGAAGGTGTTGTACACTTGCCTCAGGGTACTGTTTAATCCAGCCTTCGTTAGCAAAACACCTATCAATCCTTTCCAGAATTAGAGTATTACAGTTGGAATATCTTTTGTTGGTCCATGTGTATTTGCTACCTTTGTATCCCAGGTCAATGAGATTATACTTATTTATGCAATTCCAGAATTGGTTACTACGGCTAAGGTTTATAGGGTTTCCCCCAAACTTATCCCTAGCTTTCAAGACTTCATTGAAGTCTCCACCAATGAACCAGTTTTCACTGGTGGTTCTAGCTATGGTTGTTAGCTGCTCCCATAGGAGTTTTCTTTCAGAGAGAATGTTACTTGCATAAATAGCAGAGAAAAACCAGGGAGGTTGGTCAGGTCTTACCTTCACCATTGCGTGGATTCCTTGGGAGGTAGTGGCCACTTCCTCCACAGCTACCAGGTCCTCCTTCCACATGAACACAATGCCCCTAGAAGACCCCACCGCTGGAGATTGAATGATCATATCAAAGTCCAGGGTTTTGGCCAGTGCCTGGTGGTCAGCCATCTTGGTTTCTAACAGAACTAGCATTGTCGGCCTATACATCTTAACCATTTCAAGGCAGTGCCTTTTGAATTCGGCACCATTACCCCCCCTAACATTCCATATAATGTAGTTCATCATTGGAGATGTGGGTGGTAGGTGAGATCCCTCGTGAAGGCTCGATGGGCCTGGCAGGATGGGCACTAGAGGGGGTGGAGACTTCCTTTTCAGACTCAGGATAGGGGTTAAGTTCAATAGTGGCTTCAGCGAACCTTGTGTTTGGGCTGAGACTAAGCTCATTCCACATTTGGACATCGTTCTGGGGCACAAGACCACTATTACTTCGCTCACTTCTGTGCTGAACTCGATCGAACTCACGGAGTCTAGCATTATCGAGTTTGTTCTTGATGATGGGTAGTTCTTCTCCAGTTCCTCTATAGCATCTTTCTTCTTGAGAATCTCCAGTGTTGTGGTGATTCCTCGATGGATGTTCTGTAGTGGTGGTAAGGAAGTTGTTTTCTTTGGATTCGGGGTCATGTGGTTTGGTGGGATGTTGATTTGAGTGAAAACTGGTTCCGCTGCTAGGTCCTCCTTCATCAGATCCGGGAAGAAAGGGAGAGATTGGAAACTCTAGAGTATGTCATTGTTTAGGGCTTGTGGGTCTATAATTGGGGCTGGGCTGTCGCTGTTGGCCATCGACTGCCATAGGAGCGGGCCAAATGCTGTCAAAGCTTTGTTGAGGGCTTCCACTGTCACTCTTGCAAGATGCGCCGGGTTCTGCACTATCAATGTGATTCTCTTATTGTCGAGAGTGAAATCATATGAGAGGCCTTGCCCCTGTAAGGCAACCTCCAATCAGGAGGCTGGTTGGTGGTCCGGTGGTAATGGGTGGGTGGAGATGGTGGTTTGGGTCGGGTCTTTTGCCATTTTTGTGTTTCTTAGCTTTTGCTATTTTGGGAAAAGAGTGAAGTGGGTTTAATCGACTGATTTCCCATCATAACGCTTCCTAATATCACATCTTGGATAGTGGAAGGGTTGCCTTGTTTTGGGATTAGGGGATTTGGCTGCTCATTAATTGGGGATGTAACAGAGGTGACCTTTGAGGTCTTTTCGGTTGAAGAGGGAGGAGGTTGCAGACAGGGCACTCGATTGCCATATCTGCCGCTTGGATTTTCTCCATTAGAGAAGGTAGCAGTAGCTGTGGTAGGGGAAGCGTAGGCTTTGACCTTTGGGTTAGGTTGTACGTTACCGGTGGAGCCTAATGGTTCATGTGTTTTTGATTGCATGGGATCGGCCCCATTGGGCACATTGCCTAAGGTGATGATTGAGGCTTCAGGAAATGGGCTTGATCCCACTTGGGAGCAGGGCTGGTGGTTTGGGTTGGTGGGGTCGTCTGAGTTTGACCCCGCTTTTCTTTTAGAGCCCGTGGTGGGTTGCTCTATTGGACTTGGGTTAGGTACGTGTCTTGTCAATTTTGGATCATTGGTGGGTTTTATTATTGGGCCTTGTTGCATTTTTGATTTTTTTTGAATATTGTTTACTTATTTTTTAACATTGTAATTAAAAGATTTGGTTTGGAGGAACTTACCTGAAATGGCATCAAACATGTTTACCTGGACCTCCTCCGCTTGTGTATTTTGTTGTGGTTTCAGCAATTGGCCTTCTGCGTTTAGAGTTGTTTATTGTTGTCCCTGTTTGCGTCTTCTTGGGAATGTGACAGTCTTCCATTGGCTCTCCTCCGGTGGGAGGTCCGTTGGGTGGTGTTCTTGTGATGCGTTGGCTGTTGTGGCTGGACGTTGATTGTATGAACATCTTAGGGGCGTGTGGCATATCCTACCACAACTGGTGCATAAAGTTCCATCACCTTCGTAAATTACTGACTGCCTGTGGTCTCCAATGATCACTGATGTTTCCACTAGTGATTCAAGTGGAACTTGGATGCAGATGCGTGCATATCTCCCCCTTAGCGTGGAAGAAGTACATTGATCTATCTTCAGTAGTTTACCTAGTTTCCTCCCAACTTTCTCCAGGATGACTGTGTCATAGAATTCCGTTCGTAGTTGGGGTAATCTTATCCAGATGGCAGTGGTAGTAAGAGTGGCTTCCTGTGGAACAAATTTTGGTTCCCATTTACGAACGGACAGAAAATGGCCAGATACAAACCATGGGACAAGATGTAGTGCTTTCACCATGCTTTCCTCTAAGCTGAATTTCACTATGAACAAGTCCCATCCTAGGTCAATAAAGATTAACTGTTCGGATGGCTTCCATAGGTCAATTAGTTTGGAGCGTAGCATATGATGAGGCATCTTTCTTTTGAAGACCTTGATGATTACTGAGAATTTCCATGGCTTGTATAGTCTTTCCTTATCTTCTGGTGATAGGGGAATGGATCCTTCAATGTGTTTTCCCTTAATCCCTTGCGGGATTGATTGGTGTTCCATGTCATAGTAGTTAGCTAGGTTGCTTTCTTGCTTATCCAAGAGCATTTCCTTATAGGTCTGGTGAGGAAATTCTATCTCCATTTGGATTTGTTTATCCGATGGTTCCGGTGGGAGGGGGGGTTTGATCAATGGTGGTTCCATGAAAGCACACAAGAGTTTGTAGAGAGAGATAAGTGTTTGAAAATTTTTAAATAAATAAGTAAAATAAGCGTTGTAAGACAATTAAACTTTTTAACTTTAAAGTTTAAATTTGAATTTTAAAATTTGAAAATTGAAATTAAGTGGCTACATAAAAATTATTTAAGAAGACCAATGTGTAAGGATCAAAAAGGCTTTCATTTCATATTTTCATTGCATTGTAATACTTCAAATTAACTTGCAACTATTTTGATATTTTTATTTTTGAACTTGCAAATTAAAAGTTTACAACAATTAAAATTTTAGTGTTCATTACTATCAAATGTCAACAGAGCAAATTGTCTAATAAATTTAACACATTAAGCTTAAATAAGTCTAATAAATTCAAAATAACCTAAATTATCTCAAATCAACTTAAATACGGTTTCTGGAGGACGCTCAAGACAATCCTTGATATGCTTCTTTAAACCATATGTGCCCTCCCACTTTCGATAAACATTAAATACTCGATCACAATTCTTGCACTCTGCTTTGCGAACTTCTTCGTTTTCTTCTACCACTTCAAAGTGTTCCCAAACATGTGAGCGCACTCTAGAAGCACGGGGCATGATTGAACTCGAACCTAACAAAAATGGTAACCACACTTCACTTGATAATTATAATTTTATAATGTCTACCGTAAGTTATTAATAAAACTTGAAATAATAATTAATTGAGAACTTGAGGGCAATAAGCAATTCAATAATCAAGAGGATATTTATAGTTTTTCAGAATTATAGTAGAAGAAGAGAGCAAGTTGTGAGAAAAAATAAAGAGGGGGATGGGGGCTATTTATAGTTTTTAAAAGACTAAAATTATAATTTATCAATTATTAGGGGTAGGGTAGGGGGGGCGGGGGTGCTATTTTAGGCTGGTCCGGGCTGGAACACGGTTAAAACCCTTGAATGGATTACCGGGCTAGCCAGGTTCCGGTGCACCGGTATCCAAAAATGGCCCGACCCCGTCCGGCACTACCCCTTACCCTAATCAACCCGTCCCACCCCTTATCGGGCCGGGCCGAAATAGGTTTTTAGTGGCCCGGTCCGATTAACACCTTTAAATTATTAACTATGCTTCAAACTCTAGTCAATGGGAGGTGTTAGAATCCTACATAATTAATAAACTATTGCCTCAGATTTTGAACAATATTCATCTCATTAACCTTATCTATATCTATACTATATTAAAAGCACGAATGTCCTTAGCGAAATGTTGTTCGCCTTTTTTACCCTTTAAAAATAAATTTTACATTGTATAAAATGGTCATTTAATTATCTTCCAAATATTTAGGTCTTTTAAATCAACTAAATTTTTATTTATATGAAGATTTTACCTTATATAAATTGATCGCATTAATTATGATACAACTATAACTATACCATTTGTAATGTTAAGGGGATCAGGGAATAAAAGAGGCGGATCATTACCGTAACTTAATGTTTTCAAATTTCCTTTCTACTGGGAGTAATTCAAAATTGCCTAGCTTGAACTTTACATGTTTATATTTTGTTTAAATTTTTATTTTATGAGAATAAATCATATAAATCATAATGGCATTGTACATAATAAGCTACTAAGTTTTTGGCATCGAAGAGTTGTTGTTACCAACTAAAAGNCTATAGAAAAACATAAAATTTTGTTTACTAAATCTTTCTTTATTAGAATAATAATAATCTAAATTTAAGGACCGTATAAACCAATAATCTATATTATATTTTAAACACGAATGTACTTAGTGAAATATTATTAGTTCTTTCTTACCTTTTTATACTAAAATTTTAAAATACAGTTCACAATGGTAAGATAGTCATTTGACTATTTTTCTAATATTAGGAATAGTCATTTAATTAAACAATTATTTAATTAATTCTCTAATATTTAGAAATAACTATTNTTTACACCCGGTAGCCCACAACTCAAAATAACCGTTTTAATATTTTAAATTTCAATTTCTTTGTTTCTCTTTCTCTCTCTTCCTCACGTTTTTCTCAGACTCTCTTTCTCAGGCTTTTTCAGACGATAACCGACCTCCATTGTTGGGTTCAACTAATTTTCGAGCTTATAATCTTAATTTCAGGTAATTTCCGTTTCATTCTATGCTTTTACCACAGTTTTGGTTTTGAATTTTGTTTTATTTTTCATTTTTTTGCTTTTTCTGATTATGCCTATTTTCTTACAATGTTGGTGTGTTTTTCGTTTGATTTTGTGTTCCATCTATCTTCGTTCTAGGATTAAAAAACTTGATGTTTTAGTTTGCATGCTCTGTTATTTCGACTTTTAGGGTAGAATTTTTTATTTTTTGATTTTTGTTACAATTTGAGAAAATTGGCCTCTGCTTCGTGTTCATGGCCTTTAGTTTTGGTTAACCTTTGAGTTTTGTTACAGTTTAATTTTTGTGTTTTCCTTCAGTTGTCTTCAATTTTGTTAAAGCTTTGGTTGTTTGGTTTATTAGAAAATGCGCTCAAAAGTAGTTGCTTCTAAAAGCAAAATGAAGGTTGCTGGAAAAGGCATTAAGTTAGATTATGCGAAAAGATTGAGGGAGTTGCCCTCAAGCCCTGATTCTGAATCTAATGTAAATGTCCAGGCGCCACATTGTGATGATTTTGAGTCTCCTGCTCCTCCTAAAAATTCGCAACAAGAGAGCAGTCGGATGACTCGTTCGCAAACGAGAAATACTCCCACTCCAGTTAAATCATCGAGTGACTTGCCCTCACCACCTTCTTCTGAAGCGAAAACGCATGTCCATGATCCCGATGATAATGATTTTGAGTCTCCTCCTCCTCCAAAAAAGTTGCAACAAGGGAGCACTCGAGTGACTCGGTCGCAAACAAGTAATACTCCTACTCCGCTTAACATTGTTAGAATACGGAGTAAGAAATGTAGGAGACCTCAAAAATTAAAAGAAAAGCTGAAAGTTGATTTGGTTAACGAAGATGATGTAGGCCGCAATGTTAAACCGAAAAGGGGAAAGATCAAGGATGATGGTGATAGTGGCCTTGATTCCTTATCGAAAGAACAAAGGTTTGCTATTCGCTCCAAATTGAATGAGAGAAAAGCTCAGTTGAAGGTATTCCCTGTGTTGCTAGTAATTTATACATGCTTATACAATTTTATACAAAGTTATACAACTGTTTATACATCTTTATACAAGTTCTGCTATACTTATTTATATATTTTTATAAAATGTTTTAGTATAGTTTTTGTTCCTGATCTATTTCTTGTTATTTTTTCATATGCAAGGTTGGGGACTTCTATATACAACCAGTTGATTATTTCCACAACAGGATTAGTGATGACAGGCTATAATTGCATATTTTAGTCGCTCATTACACTCTAATTTACTGCACTTTAATTGAGTTTGCGCTTTAATCGCTAGTGTTTTGCACTAATTGTGTGTTTTATGCCTTGTAGGTGTGATTCCGAGCTATATAGATGTTATGAAATGAATTTAAGTGATTTGAAGCTTTGAAGTCTGAGTAAAAGCTCAAGGAATTAAGCCGGGATCGTGTTCGGAGGTCAAATTTGATAATTAAGTACGAACGAAGACTTGAGGAGGCATATTGCGCACTGTCTAGTAAAATAGACATAGCTTTTTTCTCAGAGCTCCATTTGGGCTCCACAATATATGGTTGAAAAGCTAACCCAAAGGGCTACAACTTTCATGTTTTACGTTTTACCAAATTTCAAACGGAACAGGGTGAAAAACCGCGGTTTTGCCGCGACCGCGGCAGAACCGCGGTAGAAGATGGTCGCGGACAATTGAAGAATCAGAGGGCATGTTTGGCCGCGGTTCCACCGCGACCGCGGCAAAACCGCGGCAGGAAGCGAAAATTTCAGGGACTAAAGTGCAAAACATGGGATTTTAAGTCCTAAACCCTATATTAAACAAAGGAGGCCGGCCAAGAACAAAAGGAGGACATATTTTGAACACAAATTAGACCTAAGGAGGCGGAGAGACACTACTTTAGGGTTAGACAACACCCTTGGAGGCAAGAACACATTGGGAGCAAGGCGGAGAATTCTTCTACGAGTTTTTTCCTTCCTCTTCCTATTTTTTTTCATTGTTGGTTATGACTTTTAGTATTGTAGTTTTACATACTATTATGAATAGCTAATTTGTTATCTAGAGTTTTGATAGAACCTTTTGTAGGATGATTTCTTGTTATGTTTTTATATAATTGAGCCATAGCTTTTCTCTATTTGTTCAACTACGTTTATATTGTGGTTGATTGAAGAGCTCTCAATTAGATGTGCCTATTTAGTATGCATAACTCGGAAGAGAATGCATTTTTAGGTAATTGTTGAGCAACACCACTCCCAGAGTATATGAGGGATCAATAACCGAGGGTTTAAAGGTGGGATTAGGGATAACGAAGCCTTGGGTGCGATCTGAAGTGAGTTGTATTAAATGCCAGCTAGCGTAGCTCGGGAGAGCGCGTCTATTAAATTGTCGTAATTACTCGGGAGAGATTTACGGTAATAAGAGTGCTCATGATCGGTAGAGAATACTTAGGCGAAATTATAGAAGACATAGCGGGAAGGATTCCGACAATAGGGGAAATCATAACTCTAGACCTCCTTAATCTTTTCTCTAACCCTCAGTATCGTTAGTTGTTAATTTACTATTTTAATTTATTAGTTAATTAGTTAAACACAAGAATCTTAATATCTATAGGTTAGGAATTGTTCAAGCTTGTCTTCTTGGTGATAGTGAACAGTTGTAGCTAAACCTTAGTTCTCTGTGGGATTCGACTCCGGACTTGTAAACCGGATTATATTTGCAGCGACCGCTTAGTCCTTTTTATAAGGCATAGTTGGGCGTGATCAATTAGCTCCCACACTGAGACTGAGATTGTGAGCATTTTGAAGCAATATTTGACTGACACACAGCTTCAGATGTTCCG